AAACTCATTTCTATTCATTTTGAAATTCTCGATTGTTGTTAATTGATTGTAAATCTTCTCAAAATGGTATTTATATAACCGATCACGCAAATCTTGCTCATGTTGCAGCTGAGATAGATTCGAAGAACTATAACTTGTCGGTTATCCAGAACCGTAAATAAATTGGACATTATTACCTCATAAATTTCCTCAATGTCTAAGTCAGAAGAATCATTATGACGTAAATTGGTGATTTTTCTGTAGAGTCCACGTGTAATTGGCAAAATTACTTTTACGTATTTCACTTGTTCATCTTTAAGAACACTGGATGTGCTATTATCGTTTTTCGAGCTATTCGATAGATTTTCACTTTCCTGTGAATGAACGCTAACCCGTTTGCTTCCAGAAAACAATCCAAGCTCATCCACATCATCATTATAATCTCGTACTTTAGGAAAATCTTGATCTTTCTCAGGCCTTTTCATGTAATCAGATAGTTTTGCATCCTTTGTCTCGCTATATATTTCATAACTATCCTGTTTTTCAGAGTTGTCATTTGTAAATCTCAGAATTAGTTGGAAAAAAGAGTTCATATTATCGGCTCTAAGTATTTAATAGAGGGAAATTGTCCAAATTTTAAATAAATCTGATATGTTTATCAGATAAGTCCAAAAAAAACTCAACCATGAATCGTTTTTAATTAATATTCGCTGTACTACGCTAGTTATAAAGAACGTGGTTAAATTATCTTATTTGCAAAAGAATTTAACTTTGTTTAGTTTTGATTTCTACACCAATATAGTTATTTCTACGTAGCCTTTATTTTTCACTCGATGCAGAAAAATTTTTTCTTGATCGGCAACATATTTTAATTACACATCGTTGGTAACAGATTATGACAGGATTTTTGAATTGAACGATGGCATATTATTTAATTTTAAAAAGATAACTAATTTTCTATTTCCTCTTGGACTGTTTAATCAGCTTGCAAGCTGTCCTTTATCGATGTTGAATGATTAACAATTTGAACTTTTTACCATAAACATTATGTGAAATATACTAACGAATTAATAACGTGAACGCAAATATATGTTCATGGACTAACGATCTACAAGGCCATGGTCGGCGCTCAGCGGGTCAGGAAAGTTTTTTTGGTGTTGAGGAAATGTGAGGCGTTAACTAAAGTGAATTTCAAGCAAAAAAATAGCTTTTTTCGCATTGCTCGCTTTTCTATTACTGGTTAAAAACTTAATTCACAGTCAACGTTAATCACCTCACTAATAACTTGACTAATAGATTGTTGATTGTGTTTAAAAGACAAGAACTGAGTAAAAACATATAAACTTCTATTGATTGCAAAAAGCGAAATGAGTTTTTAATTTTTTTGAACTGACCATCAACGTACAGGTTGCGTTTCAACTAACATTAATGATGAGTCATTGGAAAATACCAATTTGTTTATTTCTTAGGTATGTTCTACGTGTACCATGTAATAATGCTTTCTGCTTTGAATTAATGAAAACTTCTGTTTTGTTATAAACTGTTTTAAAGATTCGCAATTGTAAATACGAGCTTTTCAAGTTAAGAAAAGATAATTCTATGCAGAATTGCGATTCTTACATAAATCGAAACTTCTTTGGATCATAGTCGGCGATCAACGCCAAAAAAGTTTATGAAGGTGAGTAAAGTGCTATACTACAATTTAACCAACTTTCATGGAAAAAATATATTCAAAATAACTGCGACAAGATAATTCAATTTAATTTCAGGTAAAATAACGCGATTAGTGAAGAAACAAAAACTTTCAACGTTTTTATACTCAGTAAAAGGCAATTAGCCACCCCATAAATGTCGTAACACACACTATTACAACCAATAAATGGTTCAAAGTAAATACAAAGTAGTATTTTTATACCTGATAATTGTGAGTATTTATTGATTTGTATGTATTTCAAGAACCCGGTCATATATACAACAATCCCGAAGAAAATATTAACCGTTGATGACGAGTATAAACACAAAATATTACTAGCAGTAACCTATTTAAATAAATATAATTGGACATTGCACATCTCAAAAATAGTTTTCGTCCTACATTCTACTGCTCACTCTATAGTACTATTTGTTTGATAGTTATTTGTCAAATTAAATCGTTAACGGAATCATTT